CTCTGGCATTTACCGTTCCACCGATGTAATTTTCACTCCCAATGTTGCTGTTGATGGCCGTAATTGTTGAATTGTTTGAGTGTATGGTGGCGACCAAATTTTGAGACTTTTATGGTATGATAAGAAAATCCTGATTTATGATTTACAATATCTTTTAAAAATATCTTTAACTATTTGGATTACATTAAATAGTATCCATATACTCCAGCACATGTTACAAAACCGAAAGAGCAAAAAAAGATCTTTTTGGTTCATCTTCCTGAAAAGAGTATTTATTTCTTTTTTAAAATTTATCATTTAAACACCTATTGTATATTAACAAATTTTTATCGAATTTTCGCCCAGAGATCTTATCTGTTCCTAAAAATATGAAATTGCTCGCTGTTCCATTATTTGAACTCTATGATAATGCACAACGTTATGGTCCACAATTGTCAGCTATTCCGCATTTGCTTAGCAGATTCAATTTTATATATGAAAAATAGACGAATTATATAATTTTAATAGGTAAGACACAATCTAAGATTATCTACATATTTTCGAACGATTAATTAGTGATACAAATCGAAAAATCGATGAAAAACTTTTGAAAAAACAACTAATCGATTGAAAAATCTTTGCCAACTTATAATTAAAAATCGAATAATCATTTAGTTTACAACTAATCGATTAAAAAACCAACTAATCGATTGAAAAATTTTTGGCGATTTGTATCACTACGATTAATATACGATAATTTATAATTTTCCTAAATTTATTTCTATGTCTAGACTAGTGGTTGGACCCGTCTGAAAAATCATGACCTGGTAACCCGGCGGGTCACCCGGGTGGATAAATGATAAAATAAAAGCCAATTCTTATAAAATTCTATGAAATTGATAAAATATTTGATGAGTTGCACAACTGATTCATTATAATATAATACATTTCTAACTCTTTTTAAACAATTTCATATCAGATATTTTTCTCTTTCTGCATATACTGTAACAAAATTATCATCTCATGAATATCATTATATGAAAGA